TGTGTGAGTCTGTCTGGCTGAGGACTGCAGCTCCTGTGTGCTGTTTGATAGCAGTGTGTCAATACGCATCAGCTACAGTCCACTCCAGTGGAAAAAGACTGCTTGATCAGACGCTTACTGATTCAATAGAAGTGATTGAATGTGAACCTGGAGTTGTAGGCCTGCACTCTGTTAGATCAGAGACGTCCTTTGGTTGAGGACTCTTTGTCAAAGTGCGACTGCCCTGACACTGGAACCTCCCAGGATGGATGCCCAGGTTCAGGTGCCGTGCCATCAGGTTAGAAGCACGTATCAGTGCCCGTCGAGGTGCAGCGGATTGTAGTTGACTCCGCATTGCACTGCAATGATCCTGACCAGCTGGCACGGGGGGGCTCATTGCTCTGTGATTCTGGAGATCTACTTTAAAAGGACTACTTGTGAACTCCAAAAACAAAAACAAAAGATATCACTTGTGAACAATATCTGGGAGTGAAGAAGAGGGAAGTTGACTTTTAAATACCTGTGTATTATCATGCCTTGGAATGAGAACACACAGACACAATGGCGATTTCTTCCTTAAAGTATTCATTTTCTAATCACTTCCAGCTCAGGGAGCAAGAGCGTATTTTGTCAAGAAATGGGAACAAGGCAGGATACACGCTAGATGAGACGCCAGTCCAGCGCAAGGCAGACACACAGACACTCACACACACTTGCACCAGGGCCAGTTTTCCCAGAAGCCAGTTAACTTTCACATGTCTTTGGACTGTGGGAGGAAACTGCAGGTGAACACAAGCAGAACGTACAAACTCCACGCAGACAGCACCCCAGCACTGCAGCAGCGCTAACCTCCACCCTTGCTGCCTCTGTATTCCTAATGTTCTGGTCAGTTCCCCAAAGCTGAGAAGATCACTGCTGAATCTCCTCCTTTGTTGCATCATTTCTTTCAGCTGGACCCTTTGTGCTGCTATCGATTGATCAGTAAAGCAATTTATCTCCCAGAGAACCTCAAACATAAGCTTTGGCCTTTCAGCTTTTAAAAGCCTGCGGATTATATGGAAAAGAAAATGCAGTTGATCATTCTTTGATGCCCATCTGGCCTTTGTGTGCAAATTATATTTGCAGTTTAGGATCGTTTCTCTTGAAGAGTCAAATAAACTCCAGATAATCACCTCTGTGCCTGGAGGTCTTATAAAAGAATGCTGCAGACCCTGGTGACAGTGCGTGACCCTTTGCTTTATTCAAGCACCCAGATGATACAGCGCTGTTACACACTTCAGTCTGGTTATGAATATCCTGATTTGCAGCTCAGTCTGTTATGTAAGTCTACAGTGCCACCTCATTGAACAGAGCTTTTGTTCTGCTGTTCTACTGCTCTGCATTACATAAGGCTGCGCTGCTCAGAGAAGTGGCTGTTATCGGGGAGATCCACTTCCTCAGCTCTCCTGCCTTCACACACTTCGCTGTCTGTCAGGTTGTGAAAGCAGCACGTGGCCACAGGTGGTACGACACTGTGCCTCGAAGCTGGGGGGGGGGGGGGGGGGTTGGGTTTCGGCTTTTTCGGGATGAGCCTGTTAGGACGATGTGACCCCCTGGCGCCTGACTGATGTGTGAACCCCCCTGGGTCACATGAGCGTGCGCTCGGCAGAGGAGGAGGCCTGAGAGACAGCAGGTCGAATCCCGGCCCCTGGACGAGCTGCTCGGGTGTCACTCTGTGCAGCAGGCCTGTGGTCGTCCGCCCCCTTCACCAGGACTCCCCCGAAAGAGAGGAGAGAACGCGCCAGTGTGGCGAAACACCCTCACCTCTCCGCTCCAGCTGAAAGATAGCCGTCTAAACAAGTGAAAACAAAAGCACGCTGAAGTAATGAAAGTTCTTTTGGTTTTTCCTTTTCAACCCCAGTGTTTGCCTGGGGTCTTATATTGAAACAGCACCACTGGACCCCAAAATCCCTAACTTTGGGAATTCATGTACATTTCCTTCATCCGCTAGTCTGTTAATGTGATGGTAGGCAGATGAATAAGCCAACTTGCTCCTTAAAATTGGCTCCATCCAGAACCTTAAAGCTGATCCAGTCACTAGTATTGATCTGTTTATGCTTGCTGAGGATTTGTGATTCTGGTATTGCTAGATCCATTCTAGTATATTTCCGGCAACAAACCATCAATATTGGTCTATAGGTCTCTACAGGACCTGAAGCAAAACGTTTCTCTGTTTAGACATCCGTTGAATCCTTCAGGAGCTGATGTTTCATATTAAAAATGTGCAATTTTGTTAGTTGTTAGTAAGAGGTTTCCTGTTCAAGTCCCAGCTCTGCCACTGCTTTGTGTGCCACTGTGGGTGGGGATATAAAAGCTGGATGCTGGATGTGAATGAGACTCGTGTACACAAAAGCTCTACGGCCGGCCTGTTTCTAGCCTTGGGGAGCTCCCGTTAAGGGAGCAGAGAGAGTCGAATATGTGGGGAAGGACGTCGCTGGCACGTGTCGCTCGCTGATGTGCCCACTCTGAGCACGTTTCACGGAAGAGCCTACAGCCAGAACTGCAATGCTTTATTTTTAAAGACAGGTGTGTCTTGCTGCTGTCCATATCTCCCCCTGTTTTGTCAATTACTAGCTAACAGAAAAGCGCAGTGTTTGTGGGTGGTGGGTGTCGGGGGGCTTGATTTTTGCTCTCTTTATAGAGGGTGTTTAGCAGGCCAAGCGGCCGCAGCTCTGGAAGCTCCCAGTCAACCTAAAACCTTCTGGGTCACGTGACCAGGCACTGGGTCACGTGACCAGCCGCAGTGTATTTGTGGGACATCATTTTGCAGTTCCAGGTTCAAGGACATGCCTGGCAGATCACCAGATCGTATCCCGACCCCTGAGCAAACGGCACGTGTGCTCGTTGATGTACAGCAGTTATTGATCAACGAGACACCACATTTGTTCAGGCTTTTTAAAAAGCAGGACAGGTGCCATCAATCCAAAGCCAAGACCCCGATGAGCATCTTTAGGACAAAAGGTTTTCGTTACTAAAAAGAGTTTTAGTTATAGTCAAACAACTGGGCCAATTCAAGCAAGGGAACTCCTGGCAAATCCAAGGCAAGAATGCGTGGCCTCCAGAAGCCTGATCCTGACCCTGAGCCTGACAATGACCCTGATCCCAGTGCCACTGGGGATTTCTGGGTATTATTTTTTGTCTCCTCTGTTGGAACTGACAGCAATTCCGCAAGAGTTCTCTCACAGATAAGATCTTCAGTTTCAAGAAAGCTTGGTGTTGTTCCCATTTAAAATTCGTTCCCTGTGTTATTTAATCAGCCACTGGCTATTAATGGATGCTAGCCTAATTTACAGACGTTTTCTTGGTTGACAGATCTTTTCAGCAGTGGTGATTTAGAGCTCGTCTCATTTTCTCACTCTCAACACTTTATTATTGCTCTTGTATCAATCTGTTGCTTTTATCCAAAAGGACTGAAGTTTAAGAACAGTTACATTCAACCCATCCAGCCTGTGTGGCGATTGAATCAAGGATCGCATCTGCAAGGATTTGCACTTATTTAGTCAGCTGGGTATTTTATTGGAATATTTTCGGAGAAGAGGGCGGCGCACTGGTCTCTTGGTTAACATTGCCTGGGTTCAGTTCTGGACGTGGGGGCTGTCTCTGTGGAGTTTGTATGCTCTTCCTGCCTTTGTGTGGGTGTCTTCATGGTGCTCTGTTTTTCTCCCTCAGTCCAAAGACAAACTATATTAGTTCTCGTCTGGGAAAATTGGCCCTGGTGTGAGTATCTGTGTGTGCCTTGTGATTGATTGGTGCACTGATGTACCCTGTTCTGTGCCCATTGCTTGCTGGCATAGGCTCCAGCTGCCCTGTGAGCCTGTATTGGAAGAAGCAGTTAGAAAAAGGGTGGATGGATTTCAGGGGAAGAAGCAATTCAGGTGAAGTGCTGTGAAGGTCAACAGCAGTGTCACACCTGGGATTTGAACCCACAACCCTCCTGTTCCAGGTCCAGAACCCTGGCCTTTGCTGCACTCTGTTCCCAGCTTGATGTTGACCGATTTTCGAAAAGCCTGTCTCTTCCAGCAGCTCCTCTGCTTTCATACCCTTTCCTTGTGAAATTCCAAAGGTGTCTTGAACAGCCGGCACCAGAATAGCAAAAAAAAAACACTTGCCAGTCAAGTTTGTCTTGTGAGCTTTGCCTGGCGCATAGCACGCCTTCTGTTTTCCAGGCAATAAGTGATTATGTAAACAAGTCTAGAATCTAGGTTGGCATGTCTGTAGGCACTGTCAGGAGAGGTGTGTGTGAAGAGATTGTAATCACTCTGACTACAGAAGCTGGATGTTTGACGTGAATTTTTTGGAAAGTGACAGCTTGGAAGACAGAAGTGGAAACTCTTTGGACGTGCGTTTAAATCTAAGGATAAGAGACACATCTTTACACAGATGATCGGGGGACTATGGGACAATCTATCAAGTCATGTTATCGAAGCTGGTACGCTGGTTTCTTTGAATAAACAGATCTGATCCGCAGATGACTGTCCCCGTGTGAGTGCTGAGTGCTGGGGGCTCTTGTAGCCATGTTTTTCCGAACCTCTAGCTATAGTTTCTCCATAGTCTCTTAAGGCTACCTCCGTATATACCACAGCATGGCTCTGTTGAGAGTAGTGATGCTAACCCACAAGTGGCCGTTGTGTGCAATAAAAATGGACTGACCCGTGTGTCACCCTCGAACTTGGAGCAGCTCGCTCCTCAGTTTTCTCCCGATTGGAGCTCAGTAGCGTCGGAGACTGTCCGGTGACCGGAGTGGTCTTGACAGCCGCGAGTGTGAAGCGTCTTGAAATGTCCAGACAGCCTGCGCATTGGAGCAGGCCCACAGCCTCCAAGCGGTGCGTGTGTGAGGGTTTCTCAGCTCCTGTGCGCTGCGGCTCTACAGCGTCGCAGCTGCGAAGCCCAAGCTGTTGTTATGGCGACAGCTTTAAAAAAAACTGCGTGGAGCAGCGCAGTTCCCCAGTGTTCCGGCTCGTTCAGAATTTCCCAGACGAGCACTGACAGTGGAGTTGCGGCGCTCAGAGGGGAGCAGCTGGTGCCGAAGTGCCAGGCTGACGGGGCTCGACTCGGGCGCTCTGATCTGCGCCTGTGTGTCCACAGTCCAGGCAAGGCCAGGAGGATTCTGGGGCTGTGCCAGATTCCCGCACACACACGCTGACGGCTCCAGGTGCTTTTAGAGGACCCTCAGTGTGACATGGCTGGAGCACAGAGAGCTGCTCCACGCTTGATGAGTGACTGATCTACCTTTTCACTCGCTTCTTAGGACAGCAGGAATCATATGGAATGGAACAACAATTCAGAGCAGCTGCTTGCTCTTACACCTGGTCTTTAGGTCACATAGACTGACAATTTCAGCTGCACCTCGAAACTGTCCGAGGTAGGTCTGTGCGCTGCGGATCTTCTTTATTCTGATTCTTTCTAGAAAACTTCACAGACTGCTTGGATGTACAAGTTAAGACTGTATAAAGACTGTCGGTAGATATCCAAAGAATTCAAGCTGTTCTTAAGTCTGACCTCCGTTAGCACTTTTACAATTTATATTACAAATATAACAACAAGCAATCATATTGATAGATGAATGACAACCTGTGCAATTTTATGAATGTACTTAAAAGCCTGTAGAAATAAATTATCTTCCGGGAAAGCAAAATGAGAGTGCTCAGTGGGAATCCTGTTAAATGAATTTAAAACCATTTTAATCAGAGACAAGATGGAACTGCCATCAGACAGCAAAATGATTTTTTATGTTCAATCAGATCGTCCTCAGAGCATGCATGTATTGTTTTTATTAACATATTAACATGGATATATTAAATATACATTAACAATGGTTGATAACTAACAGTAATATACTATACAATTAATGTCCAAACTGCTACTAAACCTTCTGTGTAGGTGTTCCTGGTTCTCCACTCTTGTTTTATGTATTTTAATGTGGTACTTATTGAATTAACTGTTAATTTACAGTATCTGTGCAGTGGTAAGTTGTCCCTCCCACAGTGGTTTCCCTTTCAGGAAATCAGGGTGACCCGTGTAACATGATGTCATTGGTTTCCTGTTCCACTGACCCGTGCAGTGGTCAGATTGGGAATTGGGCTGTGATTTTTCATTCAGGTCTGGGACACTTGAGACACTTGGACTGCTTGGGTGGTATGTTAGTAGGGCAATTAGTGCTGCTGCCTAACAGGTCTAGGGACCTCCTGGGAATGACTCAGGACTGCGG